TGCACACTGCCCGTAAGCACGTACAATGGATTTTGATCATGCACAAAAAACTCTACAACTTCCAGAGAAAGGCCAAGGATGCAAGTTTACCTTGCTCCCTACGCAAGGAGCACGCATGTCAGACGTGTATTTTTTACTGGTCGTGGAAATAAAACCGTTTGTCCAAGACGCAAGTCGACCGCAAGTTTCCGGCGAGTGTGAAATAACACACAACATACGAAATAAATAGAACTTCCAAGCACGGCTGGGGTATAGGAAGGCGTGCGCAGCTGTCGCAAGACTGCCGCACGTCCTCCTTACTACCTCTATGAAGCACGCAGGTGCCAAATCGCAAGAGTGTTGCTGCGAACTTCTTTCGTCACCCTCAAGGGCAGCAAGATTACTCCCGCCTTACGAGTTGACTGCTACTTTTTTTTTACCTCCACGTCCTCTACGACTCTCACCTACGGCAAAAAATGCAGAGAACACACAATTAAAAAATCTGTGCGTCCGGTTGTGACTGAGGCTTAAAGGATGTCATTATGAGTTTGTTACTTGGGAAAGCTTCACCTGAACTTGTTTATCTTTCATTGGGAAAGCACAAAATATCCACTATCTAATTATAGGGATGAAAAGAACAGAGTGGAGAGCGAGCCACAGCAGAGTGGAGCCCGAACCAGGGCAGAGCAGTGCAGTGCCGCGGTATCATGGTGTGGGAGAACCTTGCATTTGCAATATAAGACTGACTACCATGGCATTGGATCAAATCCTGCTGTACCAATGCTCAGTGTGGCCAGGAGCCCAGTGAGAGCAGTGCATGACTGGCTTTGTGCCGCTTGGGGATAGAGGAGTGATACAGCTGTGTTGGGTAAGTGTTGTTTGTTGCTCATTTGCCTCCTGCTGATCATCTGGGGGCTCGGTTGTTGCATTCTAAGCAGGCTCATGTTCAAGTTCTTCTGCCCTTGTTCTGTGCATGTGAGTTTTGAAACTGTGTGTGAGAAGAAGTGGCGGTTGACAGGCAAATATTTCGGAGGGGAACCGCAAGCTGTCTGCACTCTCCCTAAGATAGCAGCATGAGTTGTGTGCGAGCATGCTTATATGTAGTCTGCTGATTGGACATTCCAGATTGATGGAACAAAAACAAATTTTGAATTAAAAAAAATCAGGCAAAACACTGGTGACAACCAAAGTCTAGTTATGTAAAAAAAAATGCCATTGTGATATTACGATCTCTGGGCTTATTGTCCTCTGTGATGGACACGAGCATGGTGGAAGTATGTTTTGCGTTCCAAACAAGTCAACGTTTCTTATTATTTTTGGAAATGAAAACCACTGTGTTCATGTGACCAAAGACAACAAGGACATTAGTGTCAGGTCCAAGACCCAGCATCTGCAATGGTATGGGGTGTATCAGTGCATATGGCATAGGTTGCTTGCACATTTATGTGGGCAACATTGATGCAGAGAGATGAGAAAAATAATTTTGGAGCAACATATGCTACCCTTTAGATGTTGGCAGCTCCAGGTGCGTTCAAGCATTTTCCAGCAAGACTACTCCAAACTGCATTCTGCACAGATTATAAGTGCATGGCTGCGCAAACAGAGTGCAGGCCCTAGACTGGCCTGCCTGCAGTCCTGATCTGTCACCAGTGGAGAATGTATGGATCATTCTGACGTGAAATAAAGGGCAACGAAGGCCCCATACATTTACGTAGCTCATGACCTGCATAGTAGGGCAATGGGGGAAAATTCTACTTGCTAGACTATACCAACTAGTGTGTTCAGAGCCCAAAAGCCTAATGAGTAAAATTAAAAGAAATGTTGATTTTACACAGTGGTAAACAGTCAACTGTACCAACTTTTTTGGAATCATTTGCTGTCATCACAATGTACAGTTTTGAACAAGCAGGTAAATACTCATATTCGAACAACAACTGTTTTCAATATCGTAGATAGCGCATGGATTTTTAAATTCAGTCCTTTTAGATTTGTGAGCGTTTTCCACAATGTGCCAACTTTTTTTGGAATTGGCGTTGAATTTTTTTTTTACAAAAAATTCTCACTGCTGATTTGCCAAAACACCTGAAGCTGCTGATATGGTGTTACGAATAAATTAAAAATCTGATTCACAATGCTCAGCTCATTTTTCGCCTCTAGCTTAATCAACTGGGTTGAATCATTAATATACATATTAATGGACTTGATCACAATCATTACTGGGCCTTAGTTTGTTCCTAGCACATAAAACGATAAAATTAATTTTATTAAGAAAAGCTATTGTTGCAGAGATGAAAATATGCATTGAATATGATAAAAATATCATACAAAAATACAGTAAAAAAAATATAAGCCACCCTCCTGACAGTAATGTGATTGTTTTATTGTATTACATCAGTATTCAACTACATCATCTCAGGAAATGGTCATGGTAAAGATGCTATTCTAAATTATTTTAATCAATATTGTTTTGATCAATATTAGTAACATGTCTACAAATTACTTTATCAGTTTTATTCAGGTAGATGAGAACAACCGCTGAGCTGAGCATTTTGTCGAAAATTATTTACAGAGAACCATAATGCCAGATTCAGCTGTTTCTGCACATCACAAGTAAAACTGTTGTCTAATAAAAAAAAAAATAATAATATAAAAAAATTGACCAGTAGATGGGGGCATTGACCTGTTTTTGGGAATCTTAAATACCATAGAACTGACTGCACATCAGCTTTCCAGTTTGAAGTTCTACTTTTAGGTAAGCAGAGAAGCAGAAAGTCTGCTTAACCTTGGTTGACAGTATCTCCCCTGGGTGGTTGGTACACATCCCCTTAGTAGCTAATGATAAGTCCAGGTGGTAAACTATTTTCCAGTTTAGAAAAAACATGAGAAAAATATGACATAGCTTGCGGAGCTTGTTGTGGCAGACAACTCGAGACGTACCCACATTCCCATTGACACTCCCATGAATATCTGACACTGCTCTGCCCTGTGGAAGATGGGTTATCTAAGCTGCTTTCCTGCTCCTCCTCAGTGGAAAAACATGCCTGCTGTTGCATTGCATTGCACTCTGTGGCAGAATCACTCTCACTTGCTGCTAGTTAACCTCTTAAGCCCTGAGCCTCTGGTTCGAAAATGGCATGCCCAAAATGAAATGAGTATATCTCTGCAACTACTTGGTCCATTTGAATAATCTTGGTATCATAATAAAGGTAAAACCATTTGGGATTTCTGTTGTGGTGTAAAGATCAGTATATATGTCACTGAGTCAGAGTAAATGATGATGGAACACAGCATAAATGAAAGATCTCATTTTGCACCTAACAAAGTTTTACCTCTATCCCTTGTGAACTTATTTAGTTGCAGTTTGAAACCTCTAAAAAATTACAGCACAGAATCTCATTATTATCTGTGCCAAAGTTTATTCTGATCAAGTAAATCAGAGCAAAATTAGAGAGGAATGTCTAGATGGCTTCTCCAAATTGGCAATTCAGGTACCTTTTGGGCCATTTCAGATTTCTCAGATACAAAACTGTAAAACTCATTTAATTTCACTTATATGTCACTACAGGCATACATTCCATCCAAATACAACCACTTTTTAATTTTTAGAATTTTTAAATATATATTTTTTATTATTATTTCTGCCAGTCCTGTAGCCTATATAATTTCCTATTCAAAGATAATACATACAAAGAAAATGAAGTTTGACTCCACTGGAGCAGATTTATTAAAAAAAAAAAAAGAATAAATGAAATTATAAATACAAAGGCAATTAAAAAAAATGGTTAAGATAAGTAAAAAGATCAAAAACCCCAGCAATTATTTATAGAAGAAAAATGCAATGATTGCCCTAGTAAACATATTCCAAGGCTGGGTTTTGAACCCTGGCAGTCTGAACTGCAGCGCTGTATCCTAACCACAAGGCTACATCAGCTGTTGTACTCTCAGTATTTGTGCGGAATGGCATAAAGATTCTGTCAGAAAACGACTTTGAAAATGACTGTTGAATATTTAGCGGATAATTATTCGGAAAATGCCATAAAAAAACTAGTTATGCATTTATATTGTCGCGCTATTCAAGTATATGCGAATGGTCCATGGACTCAGTTTGACGCACTGGGAACGCAAGGCTCTAGCTCAGGCTAGGTTTGTGTTAAGGTGGTTTAGAGCTCGTTGGAAACATCAGAACTCATAGAATCAAATGGCTCCCGGCAAAGTCTTACTGACAGCATCACAAGCCGATCAGAGAGAGGAAAATACGTTGCAAGCAAGCTGAATGCTAAGGAGCTGAGATCTTTGAAGCAATGCCCTGGAAAAAGCATACTTGGAGACTGGCAGATCCATTTTCGTTATAACACAGACACATTGGGCTAACAATAGCAAGCGCAGATTTACCCTCGAACAGTATTACAAAATATCAAAGGTGAGAAATTTTTTCTGCTCATCTCTGCAGACTGTAAAGTGTATGCCTGCTGTTCTTTGAGTGTGGTGTCGGTTTAAAATTACGAGGCTTATATTGTTGGATTCTGTGGACTTTCTCTTTCATTTGAGGTATCGTTTATATGCATAGCACAAATTCAGAAGAAATGCTAGCGACTCAGCGCTGATATAATTTTATCCTATGTTTTGTTACATGGTTATTTACTTGCTTAGTGCTTGAATTGTGTTCAGTTGAGGTAAAAATGGTCAACGTGAGCTTTTTGCCGAGTTTCTTCGCGTAAGGTGGATAACCTGCATGACGATGTTGCGATTTGGAAACATGCTGTATTTATTATGCGTAATGGCCAAGCCCGGTACCGGGCACGTTAGGGCTTAAGGGGTTAATTGGGGGGGCCAGGTGGTCATAGCCTATCCCAGCTGACTATGAGAAGAAGGCGGAGACCCACCCCGTACAGTTTGCCAAACTATCACAGGGCACACTCACCTTTCAGACCTACGGGCAATTTACCATCTCCCATTAGCCTGATGTGAATGTCTTTTGACTGAGGGAGGAAACCCACGCAAACATGGGGAGAACACGCAAACTCCACAGGCCGGATTCGAACCCACAACATTCTTGCTGTTAGGAGGCAGTGCTAACCACTGTGCCACTATGCAGCGCTCATTGAACTTTGTTTGCTCAACATTTCTTTTTTTTTTTTTAAAGATTATTTTTATGGGAATTTTTCCTTTATTTGACAGTTATGCAGTGTAGAGAGACAGGAAGGTTGGGGAGAAGAATGGGGGAAGACATGCAGCAAATGACCTGAGTCAGATTCGAACCCAGGTCGCTGCGAGAAGGACACAGCCTTTATGGTACGCGCACTTAGACTGATGAGCCACCGGGGCGCTTGCTCAACATTCCTGATAGACTTGGTGGATGATCTCCCCACTCCTTTTTGTGAAACACCCTTTCTAACAAACAACATTCCAGAGAGGTTGCCAGTGACAAAGGACACTGATGGACAGGAAAAGGAGGCAGTAAATCTAGTTGACTCACCACACACTTTAACGCTGCAGTATTCCCAGGGGGTCATGGGATCTAGGGTGTAGCACCATGGGCGAAGGCGATTGTCTGGATTGCGGCAGAAGTTGTCCTTCAAGCCCTTGTCAGGGTATCTGGGAAGGGAAATGGGCATGGGTTTCCGACAGTTTTTTCTCGAGTGATACAATAAAAAAAAAGGTTGGCCTGCTCCCTAGTGAATGTGCTAGGAGGAAATCTGCAGTGGATGTCTTTAAATCATCCAAAAGAATTAAGGTGGGGGCAAGAAGAGGGCTATCTTATCTAAACATGCTGCTGTCTGGGACTCCACAGAAGTCATGCAAAGGAAACACCAAGTCACAGTTTCACAAGGCATGCAAAAGGTCCATTTTGCAATTCCCTGTTTTAATTCCCCTTAAAATTTCATACCGATGAAGAGTTGTTGTGCAGATTGCAAAAGTTATGGCATTCTTCACAACATAGTGCATGGATAAAGATAAATACGAAGAAAAATCCCCAACTGACGCGACATTATATCAAGACATATTTATCACAACAATCTCAAACACAATATAAGAAATGGAAAAAAGAGAGAAAAACTACACCATCCTGTTTAGACGTACTGTTGTTTACTCGATACTTGAAATCAGTATTCATGCCCAAGTAACAACTACTTGGGCGATGAAATTCCAAAATTGTAAATATGAGTGTGAATTCCCAAGGACTAATACTGTCTGCATCTCCAGAACAGAATACTATTAGAGTGCAGCTTACTTACCAGAACAATTAATGATGTTTTGAAATTTAAACATTTAAATTGTAACATTTGCTGTGTAATGGACAAAGCTTTCTCCAAGGCGAATACAGCCCATATTAAACAACAATACATCGTAAAAATTCTCAAAGATTTTCCAGTCAGTGCTTTTATGCCAATACACATACACTCTAACGTTACCCTGTGACAAACATGCATGTAACCCCGCCATCACATGTGATCACTGTCACTGATCAGGCATGTCATGTGATGAAGAATCTCTTACGGAGAGCATACTTTAGCAGTTTTAGTTTATCTTTGAAACATGCATCGATGCCACAAAAGAATCTCCCCAACTTCACTCCACGGAGCACATTCACAAAATTACTCGGGTAGGGACCTAACTTGAAACTATCACAATGCAGCTGAGCATTTCTCCACGAATGTTTGATATATTTAATCAATGCAACTCCATGCCAGCACTGCATGTCCCATTCTCTCATTTATCTTTCATAAATTTGTGAAGTACTGATGGGTTTTGGCAAGGATCCTGACTAGACTCATAATCATTCTGGCTTAGATTGCTGGTTTGGAAAAGATGGTGGTAAAATCATGGGGATGCAATAGATGACAATGAAGACAGACCACAGTTACAGCCTACAGGGGGCAATCATCCAGCGCAAGCTTATAACACACGGGAGCGCTAGCTCAGTGTATCCAAATGCACAATACAATGTCAGGGAAACGGAGCTGTTTGTGGTGAAACTGCTTTTAACCACTAATGCGGCGGTAAAAATTTTTTGACACAAGAAAATAAGGCTCTAATTCCTACCCCAATATGAAAGGCCCACTGATCTACTACTGCTGCATTCATGATGCTAACCCTGGTGCTCGTTCAGGAGAATGTACTCATCTGAGGGGCTCCTCCAAAAGGTGTTTCACAAGGACGTAACTGACTGTTCCATACAGTGGGCAGTAAAATTACTCAACAAAGACTAAGCTTGGTTTTCATGTTGAGGTTAAATTGAATAAGCCACATACTTATAGCAGCTAAAGACGGCTTCAGAACTTCAAAAATTGACTTGGACTTCAGTGCTTGACTCACTTGTCTTTTTGCATTTGCAGCTAGTTTCTTTAGTTGAAATACTGTACATCAATCCTCATACCTGTGTCCCTCCTCTAATTATACCCACAGAGTCTTTTGACTTCAGCTGACAAATTGTATTGAGTTATTTTCGTACATTCTGTTTGGGAGGTCAAGTTCACATCTGGTATAGTAAGGAGTGTAATGTGCTGAATAATTTAAGCAGCCAAAAATCATCAGAAGACAAGAGGAATTATCCACTCCCACCTGTCTGATAGGGTTGAAACAGTGCTCTTTTTTTTTTCTTTTTAATGTCAATAATGTATGCCCAAGTGCCTCTTTCCTACCTTTTTGGGTGGAAGTGGTGTCGGTGGGGTTGCATTAGGTCCCACCTCTGACACTCTTTTCCGCTCTCTGTGTGGTCCATGGGGCCTTGATACCCCTCCCCATTGCACTTCATACACTCCACTGCATAGAAGGAAAACAAATTCGAAAAAATAGGACCAAGGGTCCTATTAGCTTACCGGCAAGCAGTCTTACAGCGATGATACAAGTTATGACAATTTCACGTGAAGTTTGACGTTTGTATCAATGAAAATAAATGTCAAGGTCACTAAATAAAAGTTCACATAACTCTGAAGCAGTTTTGGTGATAGAAGTCATTCAAATATGTCAATATGTATTCAATATGTCAATTGTGAACTTTAAAGGTCACAGAATGTCAAGTTGTGGTCAGCAAATGGACTTCATACATTACTTTCTAAATGTCTCTACACAAACATTGGCTCAATCTGTGACCATTTTGGTGATACAAGTCATTGTAATTTCACTGTCGAGTTTGACCCTCAAAGGTCACTGACAGTCAAGTTGAATGTCACCAAATGAAAGTTCATATGTGACTTCCTAGATGTCAGTAACATAAACTTAGGCTCCATCTGTGACCGTTTTAGTGATACAAGTCATTGAAATTTCACTAGGTCACATTTGACCTTTGAAGGTCAATACGAAGATCACCAAATTAAAGTTCATATATGACTTCCTATATGTCTGTAATACAAACCTAGACTCCATCTGTGACCATTTTGGCAAGACAAGTCATTGTAATTGTATTATGTCAAGTTTGACCTTCAAATGTTATCAACAGTCCAGCTGAATGTCACCAAATGAAAGTTCATATGTGACTTCCTATGTCAGTAGCACAAACCTAGGCTCCATCTGTGACCTTTTCAGTGATATAAGTCATTGAATTTTCTCTTGGTCAAATTAGACCTTCGAAGGTCAATATGAAGGTCACCAAATGAAAGTTCATACATGACTTCCTATTCATCTCCAATACAAACCTACACTCTATCTGTAACGATTTTGCTGACATAAGTCATTGAAATTTCACTGTATAGTTTCACCGTTCAAGGTCACTGAAGGTCAAGTTCAAGGTCACCCAATGAAACTTCAAACATTACTTCCTATATGGCCACAATACAAACCTACGCTCTATCTGTAATTGTTTTGGTGATAGAAGTCATTGAAATTTCGCTATGCGAAGTTTGACCTTCGAAGGTCACCGAAGGTCAAGTTCAAGGCCACCAAATGAAAGTTCATGTATGACTTCCTATACATCACCAATACAAACCGAAACTATCTGTAACCATTTACCTGATATAAGTCATGGAAATTTCACTGTGAAGTTTGGGCATTCAAGGTCACTGAAGATCAAGTTCAATGTCACCAAATGAAACTTCATACATGACTTCCTATATGCCCGCAATACAAATCTAAGCTCTATCTGTAAAAGTTTTGGTGATAGAAATCATTGAAATTTCACTATGTGAAGTTTGACCTTCGAAGGTCGCCGAAGGTCAAGTTCAAGGCCACCAAATGAAAGTTCATACATGACTTCCTATAAGTGGTCAAAGCACATATGGTCCCAATCTTCAATATTTTCAAGCCTAGAAACCTTTGAAAATTGTAACATTTTGCTTGACCTCAAGTTTGACCTTTCAAGGTCATCTGAGGTCAACTTTAACACAGCGAAAATATAGGTCATATATTACTTCCTATATGTCAGTAATACAAACTTAATCTCTATCTGCAACCATTTAGCTTCCACAGGCGATTTGGCCCATTCTCCATAAGACTCAATGTTAAAGTACAGCGCCCCCACTAGACCCACTTCCGTCTATTCAATCAAAATGGCACTCGCACTGTACATAAAGTGTATCAAGGTGAGTTGATTGCCAGACTTAGAAAAAAAGCTATCAGACATTTGTTGAGAAATAATTTTTTGAAATTTCAAGTCATTTCTTTTAACATTGTTAATATATTCCCTGACCTCGAGTTTGACCTTGCAAAGTCATCTGTAGTCACATTTAATATTGCCAAAATATAGGTCATATATGACTTCCTAAATGTCGATAATACAAACTTAATCTCTATCTGCAACCATTTGGCCTCCATAGGCCATCTTGCGTATTCATAAAGTACAGCGCCCCCAATAGACCCACTTCCATCAATTTAATCAAAATGGCGCTTGCACTGTACATTGACAGTACCAAGGTAAGTTGATTGCCTGATTTAGAAAAAAATTTATCTCGCAGTTTTTTAGAAATATTTTTTTTTATTTCTCAGTCCTATCTTTAACATTGGAGCCAAAATTTCAAGGGCTCATAAAACAGACAAAAATGATTCAATCAAAAATCCGAGAAAAAAGTCTGGAGATATGGTCTAGTAGTATGTTATTGCAAATTTACATGAAAATTCATCCGGCCAAAAAAAAAGATAAAAAATGTTCTGGAATACGA